CAGGAAAGGGAGCAGATGCAGCGCTACAACCAGCGCATGCTGGAGCAGCTGCGGGTGCGGCAGCAGCAGGAGAGGGCCCGGCTGCCCAAGATCCAGCGCAGCGAGGGCAAGACRCGCATGGCCATGTACAAGAAGAGCCTCCACATCCACTCCAGCGGCAGTGCTGCCGAGCAGAGGGACAAGATCAAACAGGTCAGACTCCCAAAAAGGTGCCAGGAGCGGAGGTTTGCTGGGAGAGGGAATTTGGGGAATTGTTTACAGTTTCTAACGCACTGCTGGGTCAGAGGGGTCTGTTTTGTGGTGTCTCATGTGGTTCTCAGCGCTGTCTCTGTCCCTGAGAGCATCCTCAGGGCTTTTCCTTCTTTCCTGGGGATTGCTGGACGCTGGGCTGTTCTCTCAGCTCAGCCAGGGCAGTGCTGCCCACACAGATCCCGCTGTTCCCTCCGCCAGTTCGCCCTGCAGGAGGAGAAGAGGCAGAAGGCAGAGCGGCTGCAGCAGCAGCAGAAGCACGAGTCGCAGATGAAGGACATGCAYGCCCAGTGTGAGAGCAACACCMACGAGCTCCAGCACCTCCAGGTACYCATCCCTCRTGGCTTGGGCTCCCTGAGCTGCCTGTGCAGCTCTCGGTCCCTTCAGAGGTGGCAGCAGAATTGTCACTGTCAGTGAATGGCTCCTGATGTCCCCTTGCTCTTGCCCTGAGAGGTTTTTGCTGCAGTGTCTAAAGGTGGAGCTCAGAGCTCTATCTGTGCCGGAGACGAGTCCTGTTCAGCCTGGATTTACAGTTCCAGCTCTTTGATGGGTGCTGTGTGTGGGGATCTGATTTCAGAATGAAAAGTGCCACCTCCTGATCGAGCAYGAAACGCAGAAGCTGAAGTCCCTGGACGAGAGCCACAACCAGCACATGAAGGAGTGGCGAGAGCAGCTGAGGCCACGGAAGAAGGTRGGGAGGAACTGCGGGCTGTGAGCAGGGTGTCCTGCCTGCCTGGCAGGAGGGGACGGTGCCCAGAGCTCCAGAAGAACCTCAGACTCAGTTTGTGTGTGCTGTCTGTGCCGCAGGCCCTGGAGGATGAGCTGAACCAGAAGAAGCGCGAGCAGGAGATGTTCTTCAAGCTGAGCGAGGAGGCCGATGGACAGAYGCCGGCATCCCCCACCAAACATGCCAAATTCGTGCCCTTCAGCTCCTCRGAGAGCCTGTAACCCCTGGCAGGTCACCAGCTGGTGCTGGCTGTGTCCTCCTGAGCTACAGGGGGACAATTTGCACTCGGCAGCTCCTCGTGGCAGCCCCTCCTTGGCACAGCACCCTGCTGTCCCCTCGCTCTGCCCACCACAGACGTGGCCTCTGCTCTGAGGGACACTGCCTGCTCGTGGGGTGGCTTTTKGAGGAGCTGCAGGCTGGGAAGGGGGGCAGGACCCTCTCTGGATCACGCTGGCACTGTTGGCTGGTGCCTCCCCGCCGTGTGAGCCCGGTGCTCGCTGGGTTGGGCAGCTCAGGMCGGAGCAAAGCCCACCCTGAACGGAGGAACAGCCAGGGCTCTGCCCTCAGGGTGGGGCTGTCACCTCTCTGTCCACCGTGGCTGCTCCTGTCCCTGTCCCCTGTAGGGTCTGGCCTGGGCCAGAGCAGCTTTGCCATTGTTTCAGCTCACCTTGGCCTTTGGCCCCCCAGCACTCGCCTTAGATTTCTGATTTATTCCTCTCCACTGTGGCCCTTTTTTTGCCACAGACTGACGGTGATTTCGGTATTTTTTTTTTGCCAGGGGAGGGCTGTTTTTTTCCTTTCCTCCTCCTCCCCACACAGACTGTGCAGAAAGGGGCTGGATGTCCTCCCAAAGACGCTTCTGCTCTTCCTTTGCCTTTGCACCACTGCCCCTCTGGCACTGAGCTGGCCCTGTCTGCTCAGGGACTGGGTTCTGGGTGATTAACCTGGGCTAATTAAATCATCCTGCTGGCTGCAGGCTGAAGGAGGTGTCAGTGCAGAGGGGAGCTCAGGGATGGTGCTCAGTCCTGCGGTGACACGGTGGTGACAGCCCTGTCACTGTCCTGTGCCTTGAGGGTGAGAAGGGTGGGGTGAGAAGGGTGTTCCTGGCAGAGCTCTCATGGCCACAGGGTGCTTCAGGCTGGTTTTAAGGTCCTTTCTGTGTGGATGAGCCAGCCTGGGCACAGGGTGATGGCTGCAGAGCATCGCTGGGAGGGGTAAAGGACAGAAAAGGGAGAAAAGGGGAGAGAAATGAGGGTGGAGGAGWTGCCCAGGCAGGGGCACGGTGGGTGCTGCTCACAGCATCTCTCTGTCCACTGCTGTCTCATCTCCTTGGCATCAGCTGGAGCTTCTTGGATGGCTCTCCTGGCTGGGAGCTGTGGGCAGAGCAGGTCCTCTGTCCCTCTGTCCCTGTGGTGTCCCCTCCCCCTGAATGAGGCAGGGCTTGGCTGAGCTGCTGGGTGGGACACAGAGCTTGGGGACCTCGCTGGCAGCACCTTCTTTACACAGCCCAGAGCTGGAAGGCAGCACTTGGGTTTTACTCTGGACAAAATTGTTTGTTCTAGGCCTGCTTCTCAAGCAAGGGAAAAAATATTTCTGCTTTAAAAAAGAAAAGTTATTTTCAAGGGTCCTCTGTTGATTCACTGGCATTTCAGGGAAAGGTGGAATGTGATGTGCTTCACTTCTGAAGGAGCAGCCCTTCAGAACTGTCTGTAACTCTGTACCTGGGCTGTGCATTTCCTGCCCAGTTCGAGCTCCTAATCCATATTTATAATATCCGTTCCTGCAAGGCTGCATCTCTTTGGGCCATCCCGGGTACCTCTGTGTTCCCAGCAGTGATGTCTCTGTCCATAAACACAGGAAGGGTTCCTGTTCCCCCTCCCAAAGTGTGCCTGGTGCCTTTCAGGTGTGCAAACACCGGGCTGGGAACTGCTGTGGGGTCAATGAATGCAAGGGRATGTTCTGAGTCAGGACAAGGGGCTGATTGGAGACCTTCATCAGGTTAGAAACGTGCTCCAGCAGCCCCAGTGTGTTCTGTTTGGGGTCAGGCTGGAGCTGTTGTGTGTCCCAGCAGTCAGAACCCCATTCCTGTCCTTGGTGGGAGTTGCAGAAGCTCCTGCAGCTCTGTCCTCACATTGCTGCTGCAGCTCCAGGGTGTTTCTTTCTCTGGCTGCCTCCTCCAGCAGCCCAGGAGCATCTCCCCTCTCTGGGCACGGTGCAGCCATGAGGAGAGACCATTCCTGGGCTCCTGCAGAGCTGGAGCAGTGCCCCCATGGTGGATCGGTTATCCCTTCCTCCAGTCCAGCCCATTTCCAGCGTGGAGAGAGCAGCACAGCCCTGATGGGGGTAGCAATGGCTCTGTCCCCTCCTTTTCCTGCTSTGTGCCCTCCCTGGGTGCCTCAGTGCCATGTCCCTGTCCTGGAAGGGGGGCACATCATCTGACTGTCGTGTTTACAGTGTGGTTAGAATTCTCCCTCCCTTCACAAGAGGATGTTTTGTTGTTTCCTGTTCAGAAAGAACCACAATTAAACCCAGCTTGCTTTTCGGGGGGGACGGGACACCCTTTTAAACGAATGTGGCTTTGAATAAAAAGGGGTTTTTTTTTAATATTTTGTAAAGTATCTTCAGTGGGGCCACCACTACGATGTAAAGAYCTCTCTAATAAAGTGTCAGACCGAGAAATCTGGGCATGGGTGTGATTGTGTGCCCGGCTGTGACCTCAGCTTTGCTTTTGGGCTGGGTTTTACTGACTTTGAGAAACTTCTGCCGAAGTTTGAACTTTGCAAGGCTGAACCTCCAGGTCTCCCAGACCTGTGGTTATAATTCTCGGGCAGGGCATCTTTGCCACCCGGCTGCGGTTCTGGTGGGGCTGAAGGGAAGCAGCGCTCCCTCGGTGCGTGYTCAGATGGAGCTGGGCTGACCCTGCTYGGCGAGGAGTGAGTATTGCACTTTRAATRYRTTCGGGCTGGAATKGTTCTGGTTTTTCATCWGCTGGCCTGGCTTTAACKGCAATCTCAGACAGATTCCTCAGTTCCCCGGTTTTGGGAGGTCCTAGGGATGCCTGTCCATCCCTTCCCACTCTCTCCTCTGCTGAGGACTCTTAGGATGCGTTATAGGACCGGGCTGCAAATCCTCTCAGGGCAGGGGGAGAGCTCTCCCTCCTCCCTCAGGCTGCTCAGAACAGCTCCCAGCACCCCTACAACCCACCCCAGAGCCCACGGGGCCTTTGTTCCCTGTTCAGGGCTCGTCACCTGATGCCCTCATTGTTTTCTCTTAAGGACACACCGCATTAAACGGGGACAGCTTTGACACGAGCCCGTGCAGCTGGGATGGGGCACCCTCAGCTTTGGAAGGTTGTGCCAAAAGCTGCCAATTTTCCTGCATTTCATGCAGGAAA